ATATATAGTTTAACTAAATTTTATTAGACCTTGTTTGAGGATATTAAAAATAAAAATAAACAACTTGTTACTCAAATGAAATCTAAAAGCAAGCTTTCTGAATCTCTTCTTTTTGGCTTGCAATATAAAGGTGTAGAGGCTGTTTACAAAATATTATTATCAAATATATTAATAAAATTAAGCTATTTAACAGTTATAGCAAATCAATACAATGATCACATATAACAGATTTAGAAAAATGTTTACTAGAAGTTGTAGAGGCAGAAAAAGAAAATTTTTTTAATTCTGATAATAATATTGTACTTAAGTAAATAAAGTTTGAGATTAATAATTATACATATAATATAAATTATGAAAAGATTAATAATTAGCTAATTGAATTGCAAACACAAACTATTGTAAAGTTAATTGATCATGATCGAATTTCTAGAGATGCATATAGATCTTTATCTAAAATTGACCAATCATTAATTCAGGCTAGTATAGTTTACAATATGAGACAAGAAATTATAAAACAAGTAAATATAAAGATTCCTATAAGTTTAGTTGATATTAATCAACCAACAAATTTTGAACTAATTATCAAAGGAAACAATATTGAATCTATTAGAAAAGGTGAGCAATGATAAATTTAATTATATAGTTTTATTATATATTAAAAAAAAAATTTAAAACCTGAACTACTTTATATTTATATATATTTGGAGATAGATGTAATGTTGAGAAAAGGTGAAAGATATAATGATCACTGTTGCACTTTTAAATAACTTGAATAAATTACAAAAACCTGAATCACATTATATATTGGTTCTTTTTTTTGGCGTAGAAGATTATAAATTACTTAAAAATATATTAGTATCTCTAATATTAGATTTGCAATTTTTAAATAAACATAGATTTCAAGATAATAAAAAATATAGTAGAATATAAAGTTTTACTTTAGTTCTGATTAGAAGTTTTTGGCTATATGCTTAGGATGAATACTACAAACTTAAATTATTTCTGTTTGTGGTATTATTGCCATAAAGACAATTTAACTAATATTACCAAATATAGTACAATTTCTAAAAATATAGAAAATATTAAAGAATCATATTTGATATTTAATGGACATATCCAAATACCTTTTTTAATATGATTCTAATTGAATATTAGATATGTGATAGTTTATATGTAATGCTAAAAATAAGTGATTAGCTTTGGGAACTATTTTTATCAGATTTTCAGTATAGTGGATTGAATGAAAATTTTTAGAACTTAATTATTGCTGAGATGAAAAGATTAAAAATTATTTTTTATTTTTAGACTGATAAAACAATACAAAATTTATCATATACATCATTAATAGATCCTGACAAGTTTAAAATCTTAGAAAACTTCGATTTTACTAAATTTATATCGAAAAAATTTTCTCAAAAATATGCTATACAACTTTGTCAACTTTGAACAAATTTTCTTGAGCTATATAATTTAATAAAATTATCTAATACAACTAGGTTACAATTTAAGAATAAAGCAAAATCATGGTTAAAATTTTTTTAAAACTATTAAAAGGACAACCAAATTAATCTAATTTTATTCGGTTATAGCATGATTCTCCAAAAGTCATTTACCCGACAAGCAACTTACCTGACATCACAGGTGACAAATTGCCAAAAATATATACTTACAGCTAATTAAATGCTAAATCTAACCTATATGATATCGGGTAGATGTCCTGTCAAGTAAATAGCTTTCAGAAAATTGAGCAACAACCTTTTATTCATAGCATGTATTGGGTAAATAAATTTATATATACATATGTATATACATATATATGTATTATATTTGTTATTGTTATATATTTAAAATTATTATTAATATT